GCTGCACCATTCTATATTCCCACAAATAGTGCACAAGGCTCCAATTTCTCCACATCTTTGCCAGCACTTGACACTTTTTGTTCTTTGATAGTAGCCATCCTAATCGATGTAAGGTGGTACCTCATTGTGATTTTGATTTGCATCTCCCTTGTGATGAGTGATGCCGAGCATCTTTTCATATGCTTGTCGGCCATTTGTAGATCTCCTTTGGAGAACATTCTTTGCTCATCTTCAAATTAGGCATTTCTTTTTTTTTTTTAATGTTTTATTTATTTCTAGGAGAGAGAGAGAGAGAGACAGCGTGAGCAGGGGAGGGTCAGAGAGAGAGGGAGTCACAGACTGAAACAGGCTCCAGGCTCTGAGCTGGCAGTCAGCACAGAGCCCGACGCGGGGCTCGAACCCACGAACCGCGAGATCATGACCTAAGCGAAAGTCGGACGCTTAACCGACTAAGCCACCCAGGCGCCCCTAAATTAGGCATTTCTTTTGTTGTTGAGTTGTATGAGCTCTTTATGTATTCTGGCTATTAACCGTTTATCAGATATATGATTTGCAAATATTTTCTCTCCTTCCACATCCTTAAGGACCATCATCCCCAAGTTATTAATATCAACCCTTAAATCATACCTATTTCCAAAGGTGCTCTTTCTGAACAGCTCCATCCTAGACGCAGCTTCCTACCTCATTCTCAGCTTTCTTTCGGGACAATTGGCAATGTGTCTATTCCCTCCAAAAGACCTTATTCCTACCTAATATGGCTTCAACTAACAACCACAAAATAACCCAAAGTCAAGAAACTTCCCGTAGGCTGAGTGATCCAGGTTCAGATTTATTTAAGGACAATTTATTATACATATATTCTTGAAGTGGTACATGTAAGTTGGGTTGGGCGGTGGTGAACTTTTAGTCAGCAATTTGAAGTGTTAGAATTTTGTGCTAACTTTTGCACAAACTGCAGTATTAAGAAACTGCAGCATTAAGAGTTTTTCAGAACAAAAAAGAAAAAACAATTTATAACTCTGGACATAAACAGTCTGGTTCAGTAACATTGATTTTTCAGAAAGTCCATAACTTGCAAAAGTTAAGTAAATGTGAATGCTGACCTCAGAGTAAATTAGTGTTGAAAGGTATTATTGGATCCCTATAGTCACTATGAAATATCTTGGGGATTATGATAAAGAGATGTTAATAAAAATTAGTAAGCGGGAGGAAAATGTTGTTAACCAGAAAGTCACACTATATTTCATACTAATGTTCCCCTAAGTATGATAAACTGCCGAGGAATAATCAGGTATCATAATCATTTTATTTATGTCTAATTCCTATGTCAAGACCCACTGCAGTATTTATGAATCATAGATGGTCTTCCAACTTTTATTTTTTTCACCAAGTATGACTGTTCTCTTCAGTGTTTTGCTAAGTGCAATATAGGTTCAACTGCAATGTGCAAGATGAGTTTAGATAACATACAAATAAGTATTTTGTTCTAATTTAGTAACATTAGAGAGTCTTATATTGTATTCATATTTTAGGGTTTATTTTATTATGCCAAGTGATTTTGAATCTCCAGTCACTGTAGTGATATTGTTTCTGTTTTTTATTTTTATTTTTTTTTTAACATTTTTTATTTATTTCTAGGAGAGAGAGAGAGAGACAGCGTGAGCAGGGGAGGGTCAGAGAGAGAGGGAGTCACAGACTGAAACAGCCTCCAGGCTCTGAGCTGGCAGTCAGCACAGAGCCCGACGCGGGGCTTGAACCCACGAACCGTGAGATCATGACCCAAGCGAAAGTCGGACGCTTAACCGACTAAGCCACCCAGGCGCCCCTATTGTTTCTGTTTAAAATAAATCTATTTCACCAAAAAAAAGTAAGTTGATTTAAATAAAAGCTTTAAGTCAATAATAATACAGGCGTTGTACTATGACATGGATGTGATAGATAGCTATGACAAATATAGAGACAGAGGCAGAAAACTAAAGTTTGAAACAGATAGCTCTTAAAGGGAATGCTGATGAGATCTAATAGACAATGTCTTGGGTATTATTTCCCTCTAATTGTATTCCTTTTAAATAGTTCCCTATCATGTCCACTATCTTAGCATGGCAGGCTTTAATGTATTTGTTGGGTAATTGAGTGAACAATCAATCAGTAGAGGAAATTTACTGTAAGAGCCACAATATCAGTCCTGATTAATTCCATTTATAGGGACAGTAACAAAGCCATCTATAATGCATTAAATATTTATTATATGCCAGGCACTTAGACAAATTTTTACATATATTTCTGATTAAATCTCCATAACAACTTTATTCAGTAAGTATTTATTCTCCCCTTCTTACACAAGAGTAAGACAGAAGTTAAGTCTCTTGCCCAAGCGTAGCAAGGGTGGTCTGAACCCTAAGGACATTTGTGGCATATTTAACAAGATGCCTGAAAATGGATGGTTCCAGACTCATTCAGTGGCTCACAGAGGCCCAGCATCTATGTGAGTCTCTTGACTTACCTCACAGTTGCAAGATGGCTGCCTCAGCCCCACACATCACATCCCCACATGAGTGCTCCAGGAAGGGAGGCTGTGGGGGTTGACGCCAGCCAACTGTCCTTTCCAGAACAGCTCACTCAAGGAATAATCTCTTATCCAGAAGCCCCTAGCACGTTTCCACTGATATTTCATTGGCCAGAACTATGTCACTTGGTAGCCCCTAGCTGCAAAGGAAGCTGGAAAAAGCATCTAGCCCTGAGGTGTGGGTATCACCAGTCACAAGCTCTTCTAAGGGTGGGGCGCCTTAGATGTTAACAAGAAAAAAGAGGGAAGTTACACTGAAAACAACATGAAGAGAAAGGAAAAGCAGTCCCCAGCCTATAAAATGGCCAGAGTCCAGAAGGCTGGGAAAACAGAGTGTTGTGAATCTCCGTAAAGGCCAGGGTTCTCAGTCTGAGCACAACTGACGTTTGGGAAAGGACAGTCCTTTGTGCGGGGGGGGGGAACATCCAGTGACTGTAGACTGTTTCGCAGCGTCCACGGCACGGCCCCCGGCCGAGGACATGTGCCCTAGGATGATGTGGCGGGAGGCCCTCCCTCAATGAAGGTCCCTGTGCCCCAAACGGGGAACAGAAACAAGGGTCCCCTCGCTGTTTTGGCAGTTGTGAGGGAGACAGAGAACCCCATTAAGTGGCTGACATTGAATTTACCACCAGCCTGAAGTGAAAGGAAATCAAGAAATGTGCTACTCCTTTTTTCTGGCATGCCCAATTTTTATGGGCTACGAGTTATACCTGCTGCAAAAAGACCCCTGACAGATCAAGGTGACACATATGCCACACTCACTGGGCCACTCGGGGGCACCACAGCGTCCCACTGGAATGACTCCGCGGCCCCCAGCCAGACTGCTTCCCTCCCTCTGACCACCCATCACAGCAGCTCTTCTCACTCAGGTGACCTGGACATGGACCAGGGACCCAAATCATGAGTCGGGGCTCCGTCAGGGTGACTGACACAAGCCTGTGTGAGCACAACTCTCGGCGGTAAATGCTACACCACAGGATTCTGTTTATGATGATGTAATTAAGGGGCACCCGACTTAGGCTCAGGTCATGATCTCTCAGTTTGTGGGTTCGAGCCCCACATCAGGTTCTGTGCTGGCAGCTCAGAGCCTGGAGCCTGCTTCAGATTCTGTGTCTCCCGCTCTCTGCCCCTCCACTGCTCACTCTCTGTCTCTCAAAAACGAGTAAACATTAAAAAAATTTATAATGATGTAATTAATTATTGTTCTGTGTGTGTTGGGTGGGAGATGGGAGGGGCATTCTTTTTGTCAACTATTTAAAAAGTGTTGGAATCTTGTGCTGGAGCTTGCAGGAAACGGTAGCATTAGGAGTCATCTAGAACAAGAAAGAGAAGACAATTTGTAACTCTGCACATAAACAGGCTGGCTCAGTAACATTGATTTTTTTTCAGGAAGTCTATACCCTGCAGAAGTTAAGGGAATGTGAATGCTGAATGCAGAGTAAATTAGTGTTGACGGGCACAATAATGATTATTATTAGTATTACCATAACTAACAATTAATGTCATTCTGATTATACTTCCTTAGGTTGAAGTGCTGGAGAGGGAACGTAGGGATCTTGCCCGTGGAGATTTTCCCGACCTCGCCCGGGGAACGCTGGGGCCCTTGGCCGGCCGGAGTCGCATGGGACCACTCTGTGCAGACCCAGGATGTTCCTTGCGGAGCCAAGTGCAGCCAAGTTCATGCGGGGGGCCGCTCAGCAAATCTCAAGATTTCCCTTGGGTCTTCAGAGATGGGAGGGGGCTGGAAAGGCATCCAGAGGGAACCCCAGGGGCAGGCGGGGAGATGCAGCCCAGTCAGGAGCACGGGGGCCCACTGTGTGGACATACAGTGCATGGACCCCGTGTTCAGGAGGGGGTTGAAGGCTGTGTTGTTTCCATCTTCCAATTCTGCATGTTTTGTTTTGTTTTGTTTTAACAAGGAGCCTGCATTCTCATTTTGCACCAGGCCCTGCAAACTACATAGCCGGTCCGGAAGGCCCCTGGCCACAGAGGGCAAAGGCCTTCGAGAGGCCAGGCCGGGATGGCTGACCTCCGGGGGAGGCCCGGCGTGCGGTCTGCACAATCAGCTACAGAGAGCAGGGCAGGGGAGCACCTTGGCTTGTCAGGCAGTTTGCCGGGGTTCATTTTCTGCCTATGCCGCTCAGGAGGCCCAAGACGCTGTCCCTCGATCTCCCTGGCTGAGCGAGAATGATAACGGCGTCAGGTCACCAGGCTTCTGTGAGGGAGATGAGCGATGGTGCGTGAAAACCCACACGGCAGCAGGCCTCTGTCGCACCAGGAGCACAGGAACTGAAAACACCTATTGGCATGACACTCCACAAACACAACTTCACAAGCAAAGCTAAAGATACAGTTATCCTCACTTTGCACGAAGCATCTGAGACACGCACGCCTGGCAGATGCAATGACTCACCCAGGTCTTCGGAGCTAAGTGAGCGGCACAGCCCGGATCTGAAGCCGGGGCTCCCAGGCTCCAAGCCAGTCATCCCTCCGGGCTCTTCTGGTCCTTTCCAACAACTCCCGTTCCTGAACGCCAAGACTTGGATCGGGCTGGTGGGGACAGAGTGGACAGGGGACTCACCAGGCGATTTGCAGCCAGGGGTGGGTCTTGGCAGGGGGCTGTGGCTGCCAGGAGTGTCCGTCCAGACCTGCATCTATGGCTTAGCCTCCCGGCCCTAACCGTCCACGGACTCGGCGTGTCCATCTGCCAACTGCTCAGACTCAAAAGCCTGCTCTACTGTTACCTTTACTGAAGGGAAATGCTTTCAGATACGACATTGCAGCGTGATGGTGTCCCAAGCGCCAGCAAGGTGCCCAGCGTGGGGCTGGGCATCGGAAAGAGGGGTAGCAGCCAGGGAAGCAAAGAAACAGGAGACGGGCAGCCCAGCCTCACAGAGCTCATCTTCTTCCTGGAAATTCGGATCTATTCAGTCATTTGCTCATTCATTCATCCGTTCAGCTGATTCACTGCAAATGTTACTGACCAATTCACAGAAAAGATATGTGAATGTCCATGAACCATACAAAAAGAGATGCTCAACCTCACTTTTAATAAGGAAAATGTAAATGAAAACCACACTGGCAACACCCTCTCCCTATCAGATTGGCTAACGTCCAAAGATTTGAAAGACGTTTATGTTTTTGACCCAGTTTGGAGGAAGCCAGCTCTCGAACATTGTAGGTGATGATGCAAAATGTTATAACCCGGGGGCGCCTGGGCAGCTTAGTCGGCTAAGCATCTGACTTCGGCTGGGGTCATGATCTCGCAGTCCATGGGTTCGAGCCTCACATCGGGCTCTGTGCTGACAGCTCAGAGTCTGGAGCCTGTTTCAGATTCTGTGTCTCCCTCTCTCTCTGACCCTCCCCCACTCGTGCTCTGTCTCTATCTCAAAAAAAAAAAAAAAAAAAAAAGATGGAAGGATAAACCACAAATAGACTTTAAAGATTATAAAGGAGTGGGGGGAGCGCCTGGGTGGCTCAGCCGGTTGTATGTCCGACTTCGGTTCAGGTCATGATCTCACGGTTCATCAGTTCGAGCCCCACATCAGGCTTGTGGCTGTCAGCACAGAGCCTGCTTTGGATCCTGTGTTCCTCTCTCTCTGCCCCTCCCCTGCTTGTGCTCTCTCTTTCTCAAAAATGAATGGCCATTTTTCTTAAAAAGGATATTACAATGGAAGGATAGAACAGAGAGGTGGTGGCAGGAATAAATGCTAGACCCAGTTTGCAGAACCGCGGGGCTTTCCCACGGGCACGGTAACAAATTTCCATGAGTGTGGAGGGGCTTAAAACAACACAAAGGTAATCTCTTACAGTTCTGGAGGCCAAAAGTCCAAACTGGGGCTCACCGGGCCCATTAAGGTGCTAACAGGGCTGCGTTCCTCCGGGAGGCTCCTGGCTGGCAGCCCCGTCTCCATCTTCAAAGCCAGCCGTGTAGCACCTGTCTCCTCTCTGAGCTCTGCCTGTAGTATCACATTTCCTCTCTGACGCTCCTGTCTCCCTCTTATAAGGATCCCTATGGTCCCATGGGACCCCGCTGTTTCATCAAGGTGATATTTGAAATTGCATTATGACTTCATGTGTTTACATGAATATTGTTTCTCTCTCCCCAAGCCCTCTCTAGAATATGGGCTCTGTGTGGGCAGGGATAGGCCTGTCTTACTCAATTTTATACTCCCAGTGCCTGGTACATAGTAGTTGATCAATAGATAGATAGATAGATAGATAGATATGTATACAAGAACTAATAATGATAATAGGTTACCCTCCAGAGTAGTATTTCCCACAACCCACAAAACCTTCAGCCTTTACACTGAATCAATAGTTCCCCAATGGGCACCATTTTGCCCTCCGGGGAGTTTTCATCATTACGTTTATTGGAGGGGTTTTTGTTTGTCATGGCTTTTGGAACGGGTGCCTCTGTCAACCAGCGGCTAGAGGTCAGCGATGCTGCTAAACACCCCACAGGGCACAGGACGGCCCCCGGAGACAAGAATGATCCTGCCCCAGATGTCGGGAACGCCAGGTTGAGAAACCTCACCTAGAAACACAACATATTTGAATTGGAAGAAACATCTCATTTCAAGCACAAGTTCCTTGGGGCGCCTGGGTGGCTCAGTCGGTTAAGCGTCCGACTCAGCTCAGGTCACGATCTCACAGTTCGTGGGTTCGAGCCCCGCGTCGGGCTCTGTGCTAACTGCCAGCTCAGAGCCTGGAGCCTGTTTCAGATTCTGTGTCTCCCTCTCTCTCTCTGACCCTCCCTTGCTCACGCTGTCTCTCTCTCAGAAATAAATAAAACATTAAAAAATAAATCAAGCACAAGTTCCTCATTTGACTAATGGGCAAACTGAGGCCTAGAAAAGGAAACAACTCATCCGAAGATACGTAACAAGGGGGCCGCAGAGCGGCCGGTGGAGCCCCAGGGCCCCAGGGCAGGAAATGAAGATGTATTCAAAGCTGCCAAATGGGGCGCCTGGGTGGCTTAGTCGGTTAAGCGTCCGACTTTCGCTTAGGTCATGATCTCGCGGTTCGTGGGTTCGAGCCCCGTGTCGGGCTCTGTGCTGACTGCCAGCTCAGAGCCTGGAGCCTGTTTCAGTCTGTGACTCCCTCTCTCTCTGACCCTCCCCTGCTCACGCTGTCTCTCTCTCTTCTAGAAATAAATAAAACATTAAAAAAAAAAAAAAAGCTGCCAAATGGAGAAAATGAGGGCCTCTTTCCCCACCCCCAATAACAAGCAGGGTTCTGACCGGTTATCAGAGCCCGAGGCCGGCAGCAGGCAGCAGTGGCTGGCTGAGAACCGCCCCTAACCCTGGCACCTCGCACAATGCGCTGTGCTCAGTACTGAACGCCAAATCACAGCAATTAGCCACGTCGCACCCAGTAGCCGACTTCACGCTGGGCTGGTGGCCCAGACTGCTACAGAGACGTGCCCTCCGCAGCTAAGTGTCTTGGCAACCATGGGCAATGTTCTTGCTATCCCTGGAGCTGGGACCACAGGGCTCTGGCCGTGAGGGGTCTCCTACCTGCTACTGAATGGCCCGTGGGCCCCCGAACAAAGAAGGGAGGATTACAGTTTCCCCTTATTCTTCCTGTAGCTTTGTAAGGAGCACACAGCCCCGCCCACGGCCCTGCCGTCCTCCCTCACCCCCAGAGAGGTGCTCCTTTTGGCTAGAGTGAGGGAGAAACCAGGGTTGAGGACCAGCCACTGCCTAAAGCCTTTATCAAGCTGGGATCCAGGCTTTGTCTGTAGCCCCCCAGGAAAAGCTGGGTACCGTGCATACGGATGGACAACACTGTGACTGACACCCAGAATCTTACAAAGTTTGTGGATTTTTTTTTCATCGGAAACCAATTTAGGTAAGTTGGTTGGGCTGCAAACATCTGTCACTCCCAGGTCCTCATGGTGACCAGTAACACATTTTGTATCTAGACTTGGAATTTCTGCGTCAACAATGGAAACATGCACCGGCAGCCGAGATTAAAACAACCACTTCAGTCCAAGAGACTGCCATTTGCAAAGCACTCCCACCTCCTGAATCGCACTGAATCTTCACAACCCTCCAGAAAGATATGCAGAGCGGGCATGTTTAGCTGCATTTAACAGATGAGTATCTGGGCTCAGGGGGCACCGTGACTCATCCCAAGTCACATACCTGCTTGTTGGGAGAGTTGAAGTTCAAATTCAGGCCTTGTAATTCTCTGTCTTCCCTCCACCACACACATACTGGTGGAAATGTTGGAGGCCAATTAAAGTCCAGTCCTCTGGGTCACCCCTTTGCCCACTGTGGTGTCCCCAAAACTGTTTTTGCAGAGCCCTGGGGCTCCAAACAAGAGTTTGAGGGCCACCCCCTCTACATCACTGTCTGCCAGCTTCTCCATGCCCTTGGAGGCTGACGTGTTCTTGTCCCCGTCTTCTGAGTGGCCCTGAGCAAGGGGGAGCCTCAACAAGACCAGAATGAGGAGGGGAGTGGAGGTGCATCAGGCTGCCTGGGTCCCTCAGTGGAGGGTCGCTGGTCCATGCACCACAGCTCTCTCTGTCCCCACAGTGCTCTCCTTCTGGATTCCAGTAACTGCCCTCTCCTCTCTTCACTTCTGACCCCAGGGTAACAAGAGCTACTCAAATTACACATATCAAATGATGACAAAAAGCTAAGGAGAAACAGAAAACAGGATAGAAGACGGAGAGGTCTGGAGTGGGGGTGAGGTTGTTGGAATTTTAAATTGGGAGACCAGGGAAGACTTCAGCAAGAACGTGATGTGTGAGCGAAGACCTAAGTGAATGATCAAGCCACGTGGGTATCTTAGGGAAGAACTTTCCAGACGCCTGGTGTATTGGAGCAAGGGTGGCTGGAGCAGACACACAAGGCATGGTCCAGGGCACGAGGGGCTATCGACGGACCTGGCTGAGGGACTAGATTTGGGGAGCGTGGGCGGGGCAGGAGCCAAAGAGAATGGGGTGGGGGTGATGACAGCTCAGCACAGTGAGTCCCTCACTAGCACGAAAAGAACACCACAGACCTGCTACCGTGGACACTGTGTCCGCGACTCAGCTCTAAGCCCTTCAAGAAGCGACTGCTGAGCACTGAGCGGACTGGACAGCACCTTCCCAGAGCTGCCCACGTCGCTCTGAAGCCCTCACTCGTGTTACTTTTCCGCCCTTTCTTTATCGTGATCTGTCATTACGTATGGGTCCATTTACTTGTTTAATGTTTAAAGTGCAAGAAGACAGAGACCTTATTTGTCACAGCCAAAGCCATATCCCCATGATCCAGCAGAAGACTTGGCACAAGAAGACAGAAACCTTATTTGTCACGGCCACAGCCATATCCCCACGATCCAGCAGAAGACATGGCACATAGCAGGTGCCCAATACATGTTTGATTAAAGATGAATGGGTGGATCGATGACCGTGCTAACTACTCCTAGTGGAGTAGGCTAAGTTCTTTTCTCCAGATCTTTCATTCTAGCCCATAGAACAGAAATGCAAGAACCAAGGCTTTACTGCTGAGAAAAAAGTATATCTTTTAAGCACTCAAGGCCCACAAATCAACAAAGCATTTGGCACACAGTAGGTGCCTATTAGATACATGCAGACTTGACCAGAGATGTAACCTGGAAGGCCCAGTTCGTCCCCAAACCTATCCCACAATTTCCAAATGCCACAGTGACCTGTCTTCAATATAAGTATTTATATTCTTGTTGCCTTCTCTTCACACTCTTCTCATGGAAACCCTACTCCAGCAAGTCAGAGGGATCCGCATTGTGGGGAAGAGAATAAAAGCTGTTTCCGTAGAAAGGAAAGGAGACGTTGATAAGGTTCCTTTGTCTTTTATTTTTTTCCCCTTACTTCAAAAGGGAGCTCTTGAAGATAAAGGGGAGGCCCCAAGGGGAGCGAGGTATAAAGTGTATGCCATAATAATGTTATGAAAAGAGAACAAAGAAATTGCCAGAGACCGCCATCCCGGGGCAGCTGGAGGAGATTCGACTGGCCTGAGAGCCCAAGGTGACCAGACCGGGAAGGAGCAAGAACACGATTCAAGCCAGCATCAGGAGAGCCCGCAAAGTCAGGTCCACCCCTGAAGACTGGCCACTGCCAGTGAGGTAAGTGCATGAGGTGTACAGAGCCGCCCAGGGCCTTAGCAGTCACTCAGAGGCCCCAAGGACCCTGTCGAGTGCTAACTGAGCTGCTGCAGGTCAACCTTCTTGTCAAGAGTCTAAGCCACTTCTCCATTCCACCCCCATCCCACCCTCTTGGTGTCCAGAGGGCAGCTGGTGGTCCTATGGGAACAAAAGTCCCCCTACCTGGGCCCCTCTGAGACTGGACAGTGAATAGTTAAACCCAGGGCAAGAGTTACATGAGACCTTCGCCTCTGGGAGCCTCTATTTCCTCTCCTGTAAAGTGGAGAGAGTGGTACTTGACCACTACAAGCCAACTGCTGGCCGATGGGGAGAAGTGGGCCCTTCCTCCCTTTGAAGTGCCCTCAGTAGCATCTGTGCAGGAGAAGCTCGGGGGAGGGGGTGGGGAAGAAGATGAGAGCCAGCCTGGCGAGAAGCAGAAACGGCTTCCTCGGGAGCTTGCCTCCAAAGAGCTGGGGCCGTAAGCCAGGCCACCCGTTCCAGAAGTGCTCTTTTTGAAGAAGATACAGGGGATAAAGGCAACAAGCATTCATTCATCCAGCCATCCGGTCACCCATTCTACAAATATTTATTGAGCATTTCCCATGTGCCAAGTGCACTGTGTGAGACCCTGGGAACAAAGCTCTGAACAAGAGGGCATAGAGTTCAGTGAGACAGACAAGTACTTAAAGATACAAATTAAACTACAGTTGTAAAGAGTGCTGCAAGGAAAAACTAGAGATTGCTTTTGTCGAGAACTATGTAGAGTCTGAGATTTACCCTATGTGGCAGCTAGGCAAGTTAGCCTGCCACAGTTTTATGGATGCTGGCAGAAGACACGAGACCCCTGGGTCAGAGACAAGGGACAGTTCATTATTC